CTCGGAGCCACGCGCCAAATTTGACGAGAGGGCCCCGCTGCGTTACAAGCAGAAGGACTTCGCGGTCTACGCCCGCGACCGCGCTGGGCTCCTCGCTCGCGTTGCAGCGGGGGGCTTTCAAGCGCGAGTTTTTTGGCGGCGCGCGCGCCTCCTGAGCGCGAGCTCGCCTGCGCGATCGGCTTGGTGGAAGAAGACCGATGCAATCATCGAGCAGCGGAATGACCCCGCGAGGCCAACCATCGCGCGGATCGACAGCGGCGGTGGGGCCGAGGCAACCAGAGACATAACCACCTGGAGGATCAGCATTGCGCGACATCGCGCCAGACGACGGGTGGGTTGCATCGTCCACGTTCAGGGTCGACGCCGGACTGTCGGCGACAGCGTGAGCGCGCGCGCGAATGGGAGAAGCGCAGTGAGTACATCATCATCCCACATTCGCGGGCACGCGTCGCGGCCGAGACAGCCGCTGACCGCGCTGCAGACCTCGCGACGGCGCGCCGGGACCACGACGTGACTGCGTTGACTTTGGAACCGAGCTTTGACAGATGAGGTTCCAGCCAGGTGGGGAGCCGCGAGGTATACCCAAATTGACCAGAGGATCACCAGCATATGAACAACATCTTCATCCAATTTCGTAGGGGGGGAGTTACGGGGCGCTACGAGGGCAAAGATGCGCAGGTATACCTGGCAGCAGTTGCCGGATTTCCACAATATAACCACATCGACGGCGCAACTGGGCACCGGGCCGCGCGGCTCATTTGACTTTTATTCGTTTTGACACGCGTGAGGTGATCAAGCAAGTTGCATATGGCGCCAAAAGCTAATTGCGAGCATCATTTCCGAAACGTGGCACCAGGAGCAGGGCCGCCGCAACTTCGGGGTCGCCGAGCTTGCGGCCTCGTGCAACCCCCTGGCCATCGCAGTGGCCAGATCAGCGGAGGCCGCATAACAAATTCAGTGGATTCGCCGCACTGGAAAGACGGCGATGCACAAGAACGCAGCAGCCAGTGCTCCAGAGAGGGCTGGCCCTACACATCACCGCTATCATTGAAAAGAAGGGCAGTTTCAGGTATGAAAGCAGTCTTCGGCGACCACGCGAATCTCTTGGGCATGCTCAGCGCGACGAAGAGGCGCTTCATCGTTGAAAAATCGTGCTGGCTCAAGCGGTCCTTCGCGGTCGATGAGAAGGGGCGCGTCCAAAGAACATTGGGCCAGCTACAATCCAGGTGAAGGCAAAGATGACGACGACGTACATCGCGTGCCAAGGGGCCTCAACTCACCAGCCAAGAAGAGACATCTGCAACCTCAGCCAGCCCATCGCAATGCCCGAAAGCAACGAGGGTATAGTGATGACCGCGTCGACGGATATTGCGGGCTCATGGCAGAATGATTGCGCAGGGCAGGAACTGGGAGACGTCATCAACGTGGACACCGTGATCAAGGTGTACGCCATGCCCGAGACGCGCAAGAAACAGTGCGACGGCCAGTGCCGCAATGATGTTTTGACAGCCTCAGAGAGTTGGAACATGTCTCGCCTTGAGCAGATCTGGGCAAGTACCTGGGCTGGGCGGCTTGCCGCCCGAATTGTACAAAGCAGCCCCGGCCATGTTCGCCCAGATCATGCGCCCCTTGGCAATCAAGATCGTGCTGCGGCTGGCTGGACCAACGCATTGGGAAGGTGGGTCACTCTCCAGGATATACAATGCGGACAAGTCGCCACGCGGCGCAAAGTCTGCCAGGGCAAAATTCTTTACGCTTCGCGTATCCCCACCAGCCCATCTCAAAACAGCAACTCTTGCGAAGCATGCCGACAGTCGTGTTTTTCAGGCGTGTTTCCGCCTGCCCCCGCATATCTCCCCTGTTCCTCCTTCCTCCCGCCTCCTTGTACATCCTCCTTGTGGTGGGAGCGGGAGAAGGACGAGGCGGAGGAGGAGGGAGAGAAAGCGCTCCTCGTGGTTTGAGTCGTTTGGGGTTTCTTGTCCTGGTGTGAGTCGTTCGGGCCCTTCTTCCTGGTGTGAATCGTTCGGGCTCTTCGTGATGTGAGTCGTTCGGGCTCTTCGTCCTGGTGTGAGTCGTTCGGGCTTCTCGTGGTGTGAGTTGTTCGGGCCCCTCGTCGTCGTGTGAGTCGTTCGGGCCCCTCCTCCTGGTGTGACTCGTTCGGGCTCCTCGTGGTGTGAGTCGTTCGGGGCCCTCGTCGTGGTGTGAGTCGTTTTGGGAGCCTCTTGGAGGCCTTTTGGGGCGTCTTCGGGGCCTCTTGGCGGCCCCAGGGGCTTCTAGGAGCGTCTTGGGTGCCTTGGGGGAGCCTCTTCGGGCCTCTTGGGAGCCTCTTGGAGGCGGTTTGGGGCGTCTTGGGGGCCTCTTGGCGGCTCCAGGGGCTTCCAGGAGCGTCTTGGGTGCCTCGGGGGAGCCTCTTGGGGCCTCTTGGGGGCCTCTTGGGAGCATCTTGGGGGCCTCTTGGAGGCCTCTTGGGGGCTTTTGGAGGCCTCTTGGAGGCCTCTTGGAGGGGTCTGGGAGGAATCTTGGGGCCATCTGTCGGGCGATTTTTCTCCCTCCCCCCGTCGGGGCCAGAATCCTCGTGAGGGGTGTGGTTTTTTAGCCCTCCGAGGAGTCGAAAAAGACCCCTCCGGCGACCCGCGGAGGGACCTCTCCAGGCCCAGGGGGAGGGGGTAGGGGGAGGGGTAAACCCCTCCCCGAAGGGGAAGAAGGGGGGTTGAGAACAGAGCGGGCTCTCTAAACCACTCACGCCCAAAGGGCTGGTGGGATTATCCAGCGACGCGATTCCCAAATCTGCCCACAGGATACACCTCGCGAAACTACTGCCGAAGTGCGGAGCATGTGGGCCGACGACGCAATGTGCTGGCGTCAACCGCAGAGGGGCCGAATTTCGCAGTGCACATCGCGAGGCTCTTGGATCGCCATGCAACAATGCGAAAACGAAGCGTCGCAGCGGTTTTCATGGACATCTTTGGTGCCTTCTACGGCTTCCTGCGCCAGTTTGTCGTGAATCTCGATGCCAGCGACGGAACCATTGCCGCGCTATGGCAACGTCTCGGGCTCGGACCAGAAGCGCGCGCCCGGCCTGCGGAACGCCTCCACCAGCTGGACATAATACACAACTGAGATGTAAGGCCGCATCTGGCCGCAGTGGATGCAGAGGCGCATGCTGATGCTTGTTTCGAGGCGGATTGTAGCGGCATTGCGCGCGTCGGCAGTGGGTCGCGACCAGGACGTCAATCTAGGGATCTATTCCTTGGTTATCTAGTGGCAGAGCGCGCGAAAAGGAGCAGCGCATCCTGTGCCGAGAGGACGTGGCAATCAAGATTGGGTGATCTGGGCAGAAGTTCAACGTGTACGACGAATGCCGAGGGGCAGAGCGACCCTGCGGTGGTCATCAATTCCGACGACGGCTTGCGCCCCGTGCTCGGCACCTCCGATCAGGTCATCGACGAGACATCCAAGCTCACCCAGATCCTCATTTGCGTGTTCGCCCCGAGTCTGGCCTGGAACTCAGCGTCGAGCCATGTGAGACCACGGCAATCTTGCAGTTCAGAGGACCGGGGGCGGTGACAGCACGACGCGAGTTCAGGCTAGCGAGCCAGGGTGCCATCAAGGTGAACGCCAAGACGCGAGGATAATTGATCGCACGCGTAGGTCGGAAGCGCGCGCATCTGGGCTGCAGGCCGACCGTGGGGCTCTTCAGCCAGGGCTTGTCGTGCGAGATTGCATTTCGAGTCCCGGGATTAGGTTCGTGGGAAAGCAAGTTTTGGCTTTCCCTATCATTGGCGCCGATGCAAGGGTGGCGATCGCCGGCGCAGTCTCGATGGGCGCCGCTTTGCACGCAGTCTTAACGTGGCCACCGCTGGACAAGATAACGATCTCGAAGGTCAGCAGAATGGTCGCGATGGCGCATCGAGTGGAGCAGGGCGCGGTCATCGAGAAGGGGGGCGTCCGACGCTGTGCGGGCCGGCAGGTTTTGGCCATGGCAAAGAAGCCCAGCCCAGTGGACATACTGCGAATTCGAAGATTGAGGTGCCTGAGTAGATCATTGCGTTACGGCCAAGGCTTTTTCTTTGCATTGCTGCAGGCGACGGTTGGGCACAGACAGTCTTGGGCAGCCCTCATCGTTACCGACGTCATTCGGCTACCGCGCGCGTGGGCAGCGACGCAGGAGCTACCCGACCCCGTGGAGAACATGCATGCTTGGGAAGATTTTTGCAGGCAGTGGCCAGCGGCGTGGAAAGGTATCCTCCACGACGCCAGCGACAGTAGAGTGAACCAACGTGAGGTCAATCCCCAGCCATGTCCAGTGCCGCTAGTCGAGCGCTCCTTTCAGCACCATACGTGCATTGCATTTTTCAGCGCGCCTCGCGCTTGCGTCTGTCGCGGAGTTGCCAGGCATAGCCTACGGAACATTGCGCGCCCAGTCGCATAATATGGCATTTTCTGAGCATCTATCATGCATTATCATACTTGCACGCGCTGCCTTATATTCTTAACGATACGCAGTCCCAGGTGTGTGTGTGTGTGTGTGTGTGTGTGTGTGTGTGCGCGGAGTTTTGCAGCATGCCAGACACTTTCCAATCAACGAGCAGCGCAGCCTCGACCAGCAAGATGTGGCCTTGAAACAAAGGTTGAGCGGGGGCAAATACTACGCAGAGTTCCCATGTTTCAGAACGCCTGCGCCTATCACCAAGGCCGGGGCAGAGCTCAGACTGACAGACGAGCAGGCCCGAGGGGTCCTGCGAATGCCCCGCTCATGGGTCGCGGGCCGCGGCAACGCCCGCAATGTTACGGCGCGCCCAGTTTGTCCGTCCCGGGCTGATCCGTGGGTCGTGGGAATCTGAGCGTCTGGAGTGCATGGGCTCAGGTCCCGCGGCAGAAGCGTGACAGCGATGGGCCTGTTCGAATCGAACATCTGCCTTCTGCTCTTCCCTTTCCTCCCCCTCCACCTCCTTCTCCTCCTCCTCCTCCTCCTCCTCCTCCTCCTCTCACCCCCAGAGGTTGAGCGCCTCCGCGCTGGGAGTGCCGCGGAGCCCGCGGCGGCGGCGGCGCAGAGGCGCGCGGACGCCGCGCCGCCGCCGGTCGAGCGGACGGAGGCCCGCTCCGGGCGGGGCTCAGGGCGGGTGGAGCCATGAAGGCACCGCGGGTCGGCCTCGATTTTTCAAAGTTCGAATTCCCTGAGGTTTAGACTCTTTTTGCCTTGGGTTCCTTTCAAACCTCGGGATTGCAGCCTCTTGTTGTCTGCACTTCGGGTTTTGGTTTCGACGTCGTTTCGTTTGCTTGCCCCCCCCCCTCGCCTCCCCTCCTGCCCTTCGTGCCGCCCCTCGTCTCTGCTCCTCGTGGCCGTGAGGCCTGGCGTCGCCGCTTCGAGGCCTTGCATGCCACCGGCCCCTCGTGCTCCCGTGGCTGCCGCTCGACCAGCCTGCGGCGCCAGCCGAGTCGGCGGGAGGACGGGTGAGCGTAGGGTGCCCTCGCCAGGCCCCAGGCCATCGAGGACTGAGGCAGGGACCTGCAGGGGGGTCCACGCTGCGAGCACGGCCCCGCCGCGCCCAGGCTCAGCGGAGCAAGAGATCCCGTGAGCAAGCATCCAGAGGCTCGCGCAGGTTCCCTGGGTCGGCGCGTGACCTCCCCTTCCAGGTGCCGCGGGATGCTGAGGCAGGGAGGCGCGATGGGAGGGCTCAGAAGGCACCCGCACGGCACCGGGCCCGGCCAGGGCCATCCTGGGCCCCCGGGGAATCGACCGGGAGGGCCGTGCTCCCTCGCGCCAGCTGGCGTTCACCCGTGAGGGCTCGCACCGCTCGTGCCGGCCCGCAGCTTCTGCATCCCCCCGCCGGTGGCCCTCCAGCTGGTTTGGCGGCAGCACGCTGCATTCAAATTTTGCAACTTTGCAGCGTTGCAGACATCGCCCTGCCACTTGTGTTCTAGGTTCAGGTGATAAGTCCTGGTTGGCCAGGAAGGTCGGTTTCAATACAAGGGTACTCACGCGAGGCTGGCCTTTCAGGTGGGTTCCCGAGGCTATGGTCGGTGCGCCGAATTGACCCATCCTGTTGCCCGCACGCGGTCCAGGACCATGGTATCTGTGCAGACACCGACGACGGAGCTGCAGATAATTCTGGTGCTGGTTGTGTAAACTATACGAATTCCTCACTCTGGTGTTCTAGCTACGACGATTCTGACTTTACATCTTTGGACATGTGCTGTGCATGTGGCGGGGGAGGGAGCAAGACTGGAAGCAACGCCACATCCCTGCCACCGACACCCTCGCCGGTGCACATGTGGGCAGCTGTCAGCGGTGAGTGCACGTTGGGCGGCTCTTGCGTCGAAAGTCCGAACTACCCACAGAATTACGGCGTGAACCAGGAGTGCACTGTGGAGATCGATTTTGGGTCAGCGGCACCTATCCACGTGGAGAGCTTCAATACGGAGTCGTATCGAAGACGCCTACGGCGAATCGCCGCCGCCCCCTGCATTGTGGATACGCCCATGTGGAACAGTTTGGCCACGCTATTGGACCACACGGTCCCACAGCCGTTGTGGAAGCCCTTCGGGGAACACGTGGGGGAGGAAGAGGAGGACGAGGAGAGGGAGGAGAAAGGAGGAAGTTTCTTGGGGGTCATTCTTGCGGCCTCATTGGGTGCTTCCCGAGGGCCTCTTCCAGGACTCTTGGGGGCCTTCAGGGGCTTCTTGGGGGCATCTTTGGCCGTCTTACGGCGTTCCTGGCGCGTCTGACATTGTCAGAAGCCATCTTGGGAGCCTCTCTGGGCTGTCTTGTGGCCCTCTTGGGGCGCTTCAGGGTTGTCTTGAAAGCCATCTTGGCCGTTTGAAGGCCCCTGTGGGGGCCGTCTTGGAAGCATCTTGGGCTGTCCTGGGGCCATCTTGGATGCCTCTTGGGCGCTCTCATCTTGGGGGCCTCTGGGGCTGTATTGGATTGTCGGAATGGCCGTTTTGAAGCAAATGCCGAAAACCTTAAATAACCATGGGATGGATAATCAATGGTTTTGGCTTCTTCTGGCCTTACTGGAGGACCTCTTGAAGGCCTCTTGAACTGACTTCGAGGCCTCTTGGGAGCCTCCTGGTCTTTGGCCATCTTGGGCCGTCCTGGGTGCATCTTGGGCCGTCTTGTATGCATCTTGGGGCTCTCTTGGGGCCATCCTGGGCGCCTTACGGCACCTTGGAGGTCATCTTGGCAGTCTTGGAGGCGATCTGACAACGCAAATCGCCGGATTGTGCGGATTGTGCAGCATTCCGGTTGGCTGGCGCGCTGTGCCGAAGCCCCAGGACGAAGCGTAGCACGCCAGCCACCCCTGTGGAAAGACCACGGGGGGCGGCGGATCCAGTTGCCCGCGGCACCCCGCCGCCGCCGCGTCAGCGTAGCAGCCGCGCAGCACGGAAGGGGCTGAGCTCGATATCCGCTCCAGTTGAGTGCCCCGTCTGCACTGGCGTGGGTTTCTTGAGGCACGCAGTCCTCGTCCGCAGCCTCTCGCGGGGCGGGCTGTCGACGCGGACGGTGTGCGAGGACGACGACTGCGACGACGAGGACGACGACGGCGAGGACGACGACGACGAGGGCGAGGACGAGTGCGACAACGACGACGACGTTGCCGTCTTTCCCGCCCTCGTCGTCGTCGTCGCTCTCGTCGTCGTCGTTGCTGTCGCCCTCGTCCTCCCCCTCGTCCTCGCCCTCGTCGTCGTCGTCCTCGTCGTCGTCGCGCTCGTCGTCGTAGTCGTCGTCCCCGCACGTCGCTCGCGTCGACGGCCCCGCTCCCTTCATTTCAGGTGGCTTCCTCGGGGCCTCCCTGGGGCCTCGAGGGGGGTCATTCAAAAGCCCGCCGGGGGCCCGGTCGAGGGTCTCGGGGCCGCCCTGCAGCGGTTCCACCGGGCTCTCCCGAAGAGGCTCGGCTCGACCATCTCGGGGACGCTTCGGCCCCTGGGCGGCTCCTCCGTGCCGTCCTGGGGCCTTCTTCCGCGGGCGTGGCCGCCTTCGGGGGCTCTTCGATCCAGCCTCGGGCCCGTCCTGTGGCTCTCTCTGGGGGGCGATGCTCAACCCGTGAGCGCGGCGAAGGTCACCACCCACCAAACCACCTCAACCCAACCCGAAGGCCTCAATTTGCCCTCCATTTCCAGTTGGGGGTGGTCGGGGAACATTGAAAAAACACATATGGAACCCGTACCCCCCCCAACCCGAAATTGGGGTCTTCGGGTGGGGTTGGGGTGGTCTGGTAGGTAGTCAGAAGGGGGAGGCGGTCATGGAACACTGCAGAGATCCTACCAGACAGCTGGTAGACGTTGACAAACTGCTCCACCGCGTGTAAGAGCGGCTGCGGATTTCGATTACCTCACCGTCAACGGAGTAGAGTATTCTGGAAGTGCTGGTCCAAGTGGCATCACACCATCAACGAGCTTAGGTTGGACCTCCGACTCCTATGCAACCCAGAGTGGCTGGAGGTTGTGCGCAGGCTCTCCACCGTCGACGCCTGCGCCACCGACGCCTGCGCCACCGACGCATGCGCCAATGCCAATCGCTCCACCGACACCTCCGCCACCGACGCCTGCCCCACCACCGACAGCAGTCTCACCAGCACCCGCGCCACCAGTACCCGCACTGGTGCACATGTGGGCAGCAGTCAGCGGCGCGTGCGCGAGAGACGGCTCTTGCGTGGAGAGCCCCAACTACCCGCAGGATTACGGCGTGGATCAGGAGTGCACCGTGGAGATCGATTTGGGATCAGCGGCACCTATCCTCGTGGAGAGCTTCAATACGGAGTCGTTTTTCGACTACCTCATTGTCAACGGAGTGGAGTATTCTGGAGGCATCGGTCCCAGCGGCATCACACCATCAACGAGTATTGTTTGGTCTTCTGACTTTACTGCAACCCAGAGTGGCTGGAGGCTGTGCGCAGGCTCTCCACCGTCGACGCCTGCCCCACCGACACCCGCTGTCCCGACACCCGCGCCCATGCCAAGCGCGCCACCGACACCTGTTCCACCACCGACAGCCGTGTGGCCCACTCCCGCACCTCCGACGCCCGCACTGGTGCACATGTGGGCGGCTGTCAGCGGCGAGTGCGCGATTGATGGCCCTTGCGTGGAGAGCCCCAACTACCCGCAGGATTACGGCGTGGACCAGGAGTGCACCGTGGAGATCGATTCGGGGTCAGCGGCACCTATTCTAGTGGAGAGCTTCAATACGGAGTCGTTTTTCGACTACCTCATTGTCAACGGGGTGGAATATTCAGGAACCTATGGACCCGACGGCATCATACCGTCAACGAGCATAGTTTGGTCATCTGATAATATGTGGAGCGAGAAAGGTTGGAGGTTGTGCGCACAGGTACCTGAGCCACCGACGCCTGCGGCGCTACCGACACCGGCACCACAGTCTGTAATGCACATGTGGGCAGCAGTCAGCGGCGACTGCACGCTTGTCGGCTCTTGCGTGCAAAGCCCCAATTATCCACAGATTTACGGTGTGGATCAGGGGTGCACCGTGGAGATCGACTTGGGGTTAGCGGTGCCCATTGCAGTGGAGAGCTTTGATACGGAATCGTATCGAAGACGCCTGCGGCGAATCACCGCCGCCCCCTAATTGTGGATACGCCCATGTGGAACAGTTTGATCACGCTATTGGACCACACGGTCCCACAGCCGTTTGTTGTGGAGTTCCAGTCTTCAGGGTTTAGGTTTAGCATTAGTTTCATTCACGAAAGAGTTTTGCCAAGACTCACGACGTTCGTGGTCCGTTGCCGGGTCGGCTCAAGGCTAAGCGGCATCCGCTGTTCCTGCTGCTGCCACAGTTGGTAGCGGAGCGGGGCTGGCCATGGCCGAGGCGGGCAGCGCGGCACGCAGCTAGGTGACTGGCGGCGGGCACGCGCGGCTCCTACGGCCTGGCCGGTCTCGCTCGACGAGACGTGCAGTGTTGGATCCACGGCAGGTGCCGGCATGCCGGCTGACGAGGAGACATACGCGGTGATAGGCGGTGGCGCTCCAGGTGAAGGGGGTCCACCGGGAGCGCGGGAGATTCAGGAGTCAGCAGCCCAGTCAGCTGTGGAGGCACTCGCTGCCCAGGTGCAGGAGCTGCGAAAGTTAGTGCTAAGCATAATCGACAGCAGGACGGCTGCCGGCTCTCGAGCGACGGCGCCAGGTAGTGGTGGCGAGACACGGCGCCCGGAGAGCGCCGACCCGTGGGAGGAACAAGACCCTTGGGGCGGCGGGCGGCGCAAGAGCGACGGCGCTGATCGAGACGGTGACAAGTGGGCCGTCGGCCGCGACAAGAGTGAGTGGGACGACCAGCCATGGACGGGCCAAGACGGACGAGGCGAGTGGCACGACCATCAGTGGCAAAGTCGCCCCGAGCAGCAGCAAAACAGTTGGTGGCCCTCCGACGGGTGGCAGGTGTCCTCCTGGGGCGGTCAGGCCCGTGGCGACTTCACGGGTCCTCCAGCCTGGCCTGGGTGGACACACTATCGGCAGTGGAAGAAGGCTGCCCGCAGGTGGGATCGCAGCACAGACGTCGCGCTGTGGTGGCGATTAGAGAAGTTCCTTGGCCTCTTCGACTGGTCGATGCAGGCGAAGTTCGACGATGTGCCCGACCACCTGCTGACCAGCAGCCAGTGGCTCGAGGTGCTGCTCCAGCGGATGGACCTCATGAGCGGCGAGCGTGAAGGAGACGAGCTCCGACGAGTGGGACGACGAGCTCTATGTGAAGGGACTCGTGAGGCCAAGGAGTCGCTGACGCCGTGCGTTGCCAGGAGAGACCTACAGTTTCAGGAAGCTGAGGGGAGCGACCTCTGGCTATCCGAGAAGCTCAAAGGCCTGATGCTCGAGGAAGGTGCGGGGTTGTCAGCCCAGGGTCAACAAAACATGAGGACGCTGACCCAGGGCAGCATCGAGTGCAGGCAGGTCGCCTGGGCACTGCGCCAGATGGACTTCGGCGGCGCTGAGCGGTTGGTGACGGGCCGGTCCACTTCTCGCCCCGTGATGGCCGCAGAAGTCGGTCAAGCGGGCGAGGCTTCAGGCTCTGTCTTTCTTCCCCCCCCTCCAAGCCCATTCGGCGCGGGGAACTGCCTCGACGAACGGCGAGACGATGCAGAGTCCGAAGGTGGTGAGTCTGAGGACGATGTCGAAGACGATCTCAGCGAGGAGGAAGTATTGACCGTTTTGGCTGAGATAGAGGACTTGGAATCAGAACAAGGACTTGAAGAGAGCTGTCGAGCGAGATCATGAGTATTTTCGATCCACCGGTCGAGCGGCAGGAGGTGGCGGCCACGGCGGCGGTCGGCGCGAAGCTGGTCGGCGAGGAGACGGCGGTCGAGGGCGAGGTCGAGGCGGCTTCCCGGGGCGAGGGCATGGGGAACGCATGTCGCGCGAGCGGCCGACGAAAGTGACCCGCTGTTTGCGATGCCTACAGAAGGAACGTTGGTCGAGATAATGTCCCAATTTCCCCGCTGCCGACGGCGAGCGGCAGTTTCCGGACGAGAAAAATAATAACCTGGCCGGCTACGCGTTGACCGGGTGTGTTTCCAGTGGGCCGTGCCTGCCAGTAGTCGCGGGCGAGAGGCTTGAGGCCCTGAAGGTGATCCAGGATGAGGTCGATAACGCGTTCCTGGCGACAGCAGCGAAGCAGGGCCTGGTGGGCCCAGGGGCGGCCAGCGACATCGTCGGGTGCTTGGCGCCCAACGCGGAGTCCCACGAGCTAGCCAGGCGCGGCTTCCAGTATGTCCCGGTGCCCGAGTCCGTGAGGCCTCTTCGAAGTGCCCGCGGAGTGGGGGGCCTGGCGAAGGTGATCGCCGCCGTCCTCTTTCCCTTCTGTTTGGCGGGCGTTCTCGGCCAAGTCGAGGCGACGGTGTTGGGCGAGGACGTTCCTCGCATGCTCGGCGTTAATCTTTTGGACCTTCTCGAGTGTATATTAGATCTTCCCAGTGATGTTTTGCGGTCCCGGACCCTGCGGGGGGAGGGTGTTCCGATGGCCAGGCTGGGGTCAGGACATCGAATGGCCGACATCATCGGTCTTGTGTCCTGTGGAGGCAAGGCGCCTCGAGAGGCCCTGAGCAAGTGCTCGTTCCTTACAGCTATTTCTTTTCTGAAGAACGGGGGGGGGCGAGCCCGGGAGATGGGCTCGGGCGGCGCCCTGAGTAAGTGCACGCCTCTCCTCTCGATCCCCCTCCTTGTCTTACCCGCGGTCAGGGGCGCGAGGTGCCGAGGGCTCCAGAGATCCAAGGTTGGCCCCATCAAGAACGGCCTCGCGCAGGGCCTCGCAGGCAAGCAGAAGGGGGCGAAGGGAGAGGCCATCAAGAAGAACCCTCAGCAGGGCTTCAGAGACAAGGTGCAGGGCCTCGCGGCCCAGATCAGGAAGGCGATCAAGGAGGTCTACCAGCCTATGGCTCAGTTAGCGGCTCGGGGTCAGGTCCGGGGCTTAGGATCCAGAGACAAAGCTCGGGTGGTGCTCGGAGGACCAGACGACAGCAACGGGGTGGTCTCAGAGATTCCGGGTAGCGACCTCATCTCTGGGTATGTAGCACGTGTTGGCTCGAGCCTCGCTATCGGCTTGCGCGACCTCCCAGACAGCGGAGCTTTCTCGGTCGAAAATTCCACTCAGGTCTACGATGGCTGGTGAGAACATCCTTCCGGCAGCGCTGATGGCCGGGCCGGCGTCGGCCGGGCCGAAGAAGGAACCAGTGGCCAAGGGGGCCACGGAAGAGTTCCTAGCCAGGCGCGAGGCTGCCTTAGCCGACGTTGCATTGGCCAGCGCCGGAGGAGACACCGACGACTCGGGTCGCTCAACGGAGAACTACGGCTTCCCACCAGGGCGCGGGGGTGGGCGGGTTCCCGGCGGTGCTGCCGAGGCCGTGAGTCTCGAGCCAGGAGCGACGGTCGGCATCCCGCAACAGACAGCGGCAGGGCCGCCTCCCCAGGTGCCGCGGCCGACGCTGTGGGGCGCGGCCGCCTTCGCCCCTCAGTGGCCTCCAGCGATGCAGTCTCGGCTCGCGGCAGCGCTCGACGAAGTGCCTCGGCGCGAGGTCCCGCCGTCGACGGCGGGCGAGGAGCAGCTCTGTCCCGAAGAACCTTCCGCCCAAGCTGGGCGCTGGATCGACGACGGCCGATGCGTTCCAAGGAACGCCGTGGAGCAGCTCCTTCCCGGCTCGGCGGGGCTTTGCACAGGCAGTCCCGGAGCGGTGGCGGCAGCGACGGCTGCTATTCCAGCCGAGCCCCCGCCCGAGCCAGCTCCCGAGTGCGGGCGTCCACGCGACGCTATCAAGTACTGCGGCAAGCAGCATGGCTCGGGGTCGCGGTGAACACTCTGTGGGGATCGACTTACCTGGATACCCCGAGGCGCGCCCGGGAACAACGGCCCCCCCCAGCAGACCGCCGCCGAGGCAGCGCGGGCGGCGGCAGCATCCGCTCAGAGGGCCGTCGGGGTGATGCAGAACAGCCCGCAATTTCAGGCCGGAGGCGCGGCTCTGACTAGGATCAACAGCTTGGCCGCGCTCTTGCAGGGATTGCAATGGTAATTATAGTCTGTGCCCGAGAGCGTCAGAGCGCTCGATCGAGCTCAAGAGGCACTGAACCGGACGATGCAAGTCGTGATGGGCCAGCAGCAGGTTCCAGCCTCCCAGGTCGAAGAAGGACTACAGCATATATACTTGGGAGTGATCGAGATCTGTCGGCTGATCCCAGGCTTCGAGGACTTCGCCGAGACGCTGGATGGGATCAACAATGCGGTGAATGGGATGGTCACGACGGTCGGGAACATCGGCATGGCGGTCTCTCAGCTGGGTCAGATGCTGGTCCAGATCGGAACGGCAGTCACTGGACTGGTGCAGGTGGCCAACGCCCAGATCCAGATGCTGGATCAGGGAGATCCCCGGGTGAACTCGAGCAGCGGGGTCTCGGCCAGCGGGGGGCCAAACGGGGCGCAAGGCAGCCCCGCCGCGACGACGACTCTGACGACGTCAACGGCGACGGCACCAACCACTACGGGTACCATGGAGCGTTTGGGCCTCGGGCCGATTCCCGAGGAGACGGATCCAGGTTCTCCAGACGGTTGGGAGATCATTGCCGACGATGCCGAGATCAGTCAGCGAGTCAGGAGTCTCGAGGGTGACAGGGCGAGGGCCAGCCCCGTCTGAACTTGGTCGCGCGCTGCGAGCAGTGCGGCTGCCTTCCTTCTGAGGCTGAGAGAGCCGACGGACAAGTTGTCTCTGGGCGCTCTTCCGTATCTCGGCCAGCTTTGTTTTTTCCCGTTCCAGTGCTTCAGAGCAAGTCGAGTGAAGCTCGGGGCAAGCTCGCGGGAGCGCAGCTCCGGAGAAGAACGCAAGAGCAGTTGCGGGGGCTTCCAGCTCGGGCCAGAGCTCCAGAGGGCCCGGAACTGGAGGGGGCCGAATGGATAGATGGAGACGCCGTGAATGATGATCGCGAGTCCGCTTGCCCCCGGGAAGTGAGAGGGGCCCTAGAGGCCATGGTTATCTCGCGAGGAACGGGCCACGAGCAGTTGAAGCAGGACGGGCCCAGGAGGAAAGCCAGGCAGGGGGCGAGCTCTATGGAAGTGCCCCCCCCTCCCAGGATAGGCCCAAGGGCCCAGAAGCGAGGGGTGGCCCTCGGAGAGGCCTCTAGTTGGGACTTGTCTACCGGATGGGATTCCGGACAAACTGCGGACCGTGGGAGGCTTTGGAGAAGCATATACGCGGACAAGCCGGAGATCATATGGCTCTGCCCACCCTGCCGGACCTTCTCAGCAACCAGCAGGATCAGCAAAACTGTCAGTGATCCTGGTGGTGTGTGGTCGATCGCCGTTCGGGAAGGGCTCGAGGACCTATCCTTTGTATGAAGATCGCCGATCATCAGATCCGTTACGGTCGGTTCTTCGCGTTCGAGCACCCTTTGTTCGCCGCGTCTTGGGGCGCTAAGGTGGTTCGGGCGATCGCGGAGCTTCTTGAGGTGCGACGTATCAGGGTGGACATGTGTACCTATGGGCTCTACGTCACAGGGGAGGGGCTTAACAAGAAAACCCACCGGGATTCTGAGCAATCATCGTGGGATCCAAGAGGTGCTAGGAGGCCACTGGTGCGACGATAGTCACAGGCACGTGCTGCTCGAAGGTCGATCGCGGACCTCTCGGGCCCAGGTCTGCCTCCCTCGGTTTGTCGATGCGGTGGCCCGCGCGGTGAGAGAACAATGGGGCGGGGCGAGTCAAGGTAGGAAGGCCGCCTGGGGCGGAGTTCGACGAGAGCGCGTTTCTGGTCGGGGAGCTGTCAGACGGAGAGGGCCCAGGGGACCTTGAGGACAGCGGAGAAGACGAGCCGGAGACCTGGCCGACGAAAGCCACCAGTACTGTCGAGAGATGGCGGTATCCTGAGCCTAGTGAGCAAGAGAAGCGCCTCGTGTTTCGTCTTCACCACAATATGGGCCATCCGGATAACAGGAAGTTCATCAGAGTCCTGCGCGCCAGAGGTGTGAAGATACACGTGCTTCGCTGGATATGTGACTCTTTCAAATGTTTGGAATGTGCCGAGAGGTCGAGAAACTCCGTTCCCAGGCGTGTATCCATGCCGAGGACCTTCACATTCAATCACATAGTGGGAGTTGATTTATTATATCTTCCCTTTCAGGATAAGACGATTCTCTTCCTGAACATAGTGCACCTTGGGCCCGAGTTGCAAGTGTGTGTGAGAGCCGAGGGGCCCAGGGCGGCGAGCGTTTGGCGCGCCTTCGTGCACGCTTGGATTCGACCGTTCGGCGCTCCTCATTTCGTGCTCTCCGACGGAGGCTCGGAGTTCGAGGATCGATTCGCGTGACGATTGGAACAGTGGGGGGTGCTGCACCACATATGTGACGCCAACTCTCCATGGCAGAACGGCAGGGATGAGAGACATTGGAGGGTGGATCAAGGAGCGGATGGAGGCCGAACTGGAAGCAGGGTCGTCCATTCCAGCAGACCTGGCTGAACTCGAGGAACTTATATATGAGTTGTGCGCCCACGCATTGGTTTTGGCACAGCGGCGGATTCTCTCTCCCTCCAACTTGTTCTCGGAGTGAATCCCAGGCTTCCCCGTGAGCTATTGTCTGACGATCATCTCGGCCTTCCAGGCTTGCGGGGCAGCCTGAGGCCAGCGTCCGAGTGGGATTCGGCCGGGGCCGAGTATGCTCGATCTCAGAAGGTGCGAGAGCTAGCCCGTAGGTTGGCACTGGAGACCATTGCCCGGGAGAAGGTTCAGAGAGCCAGTCGGGTCCGTGCCGGGCCCGGCCCGCGGTGAGTTTTACCCCGGGCCACTGGGTGTTTGTGCGGAGGCGTGCGACCAAGGCGGGTCCCAGGGCCGACGCTCTCGGCCAGCGCCGCGGCGCCTGGGCGGGCCCGGGGGTCGTAGTGCTGGCTGAGCGCAGAACGGTTTGGGTCGCGGCGAGAGCGCGTCTCTGGAAGTGGTCTCCCGAACAGGTGCGGGATCAAGCTAGCGCGAGATCCGCAGTGGACCGAGCTGTTTGGCCAAGTCCGAACGCGACGGGCCTCGGCTGTGGATGTGCAGCGGGAGGGCCCACCTCCCGATGAGGCTTGGGATCGAGCCCTGGCCCCGGGGTCCGATCCGGCGCCCAGCGCGCCAGCGGGTTCTCCGCCACCTCCATGGCTGGTGTCGCAGCCAGTTGGGCCTGAGGTAGGAGGGCGCACGGGCCAGAACCTCGACCCCGTCAGGGGGCTTCGGACGGCTAGGCCTCGGGTCGGTCCTCTTCCTCCGTCTTCGGACGGAGGCTCGGTCGTTGCTCGAGCTGGATCTGAGGTGACTCGCCTCCCATCTATCTCCGAGGAGGCGGACGGCCACTCCCGGCAGGTGTCTCCCGACGGCAGCGAGGCTACTTCCCTCCCTCTCGGCGCTCCCTCTCTCCCTCTGGACAGAAGCAACCGAGAGGGCGAGATCGAGGCCCCGCAGAGGCCGGGAGGGCCCAGTGCTGCTCAGCCCGACGCCTCTCCAGAAGATTCCTCCTCTCCCTCTCCTCCCGCTTCACTCGCAGGAACTAGAGCGCTCAGTCCGAAGCCGAGAGCTTCCGAGCGCCTCCCTTTCGAGGCAGAACTAGGATCGACCAGCCCGGAGATGTCCCCGCCTGTATTCTCAGGCGTAGGGCCGACGAGGCGACAAGTCGAAGTGCCAGCTGCCCGCCGGCGACGGGCGACGTCGAGCGCGCCGGAATCGAACCGCCTCCATGCTGGGCCCTCCAGGAGAGGGACGCGGCGTTCCTATCTCTTCCCCCGGTCACTCCCATCCTGCTCTCCCTCCTCCGTCTATCCCTCCCTCCTCGCCTGTGGGCCCGACAGAGTTCAGGCCTGGCCAGGGGCATCGGGGCGTCGTCGGGCGCAGGATCGAGGAGTTTGAGAACATGTCCCGCGGCAGCGGATCGGGGGAGCGTGAGCGGTCCCCGAGAGGAAGGGCACATATTTGGGTGACGCCGGGAGACGAAGAGGGAGTCGCTCTGACCGAGGTCCCGGGGCCCGAACCGGATCTGGAAATCTTCGCGGCCGGCCGCGGCGGCGAGGTGTCTCTCGGCAAGCTCTCGCCAGCCGAGCGTGGCAAGTCTGAGATTTCAGATGATGAGGGGGGGCAAAGTATGGCCAACTCAGGAGCGGTAGAAGTCGTGCCGCCGAAGGAGGCGGCGGCAGCGAAGCGCTCTTGTCTTGAGCGCGTGATTATCAGCTGAGTGGCGCGTAGGTGGCAACCCGTGGGGGATGCGTTTTCAGAGCCTCAGGCGAAGTCGCGCTGGTGTGTGTGTGCTCGGACACAAGGATCCAGACACAGGATTATTGTTCGTCTACTCCCCCACTTTCCAGACCACGTCCATCCACGTGTTCATTCAGGTGATGATGAACCTTTCCCTTCTCGGTGATATCGCTGATGTCAAGAATGCTTCTCGCCAGTCGGATCCCATGCAGCGTTCGCAAGGAGGAATATATGTGGAACCATGCGAAGGAATCAAGGTTGAACCCGGCTCCCTCATCCGTGTGAACGTCAGCGTTGATGGTCTCGACGACTCGCCTCTAGCATGGCGCAAAACTATCGTCCGTTTTTTGAAAGACAAGGGTTTCTGTCGAAGCCTCCTGGAACCGCGTTGGTGGGCCTGGCACGACTCAAGAGGAAAGATAGTTAACGGGGTTCTCTTGGAGGTGGATGATTTCTTTATAGCCAGCAACTCGTCCGAATCCAGGCAGTGGATCTGGAGTGCTCTCGAGTGCAGGTTCATTTTCGGGAAGTGCCGCGACTGTCGCGCGGGGCCCGTCGAGTGCGCCGGGCGATCTGTGCGCGTCGGCCCGCGGCGCGCGACCATGGACCAGGAAAAGTACATTCTCGAGGAGATCCGACCTGTGATTCTCGCCCGGGCACGGTTGGGTCAAAAGAAGTCCCCCCCTTGAGTAGGGAGAGTTCAAGGCCTTAAGATCACTTATCTACGAGCTGAACTGGGTCGGGCGTGAATCTCGACCGGAGGCCGCGGGGGCGGCCGGCATTCTGGCCAGCAGGCTCAAGCAGCCTACGGTGAGAGATGTGTCCTGTGCTAACAAGATGGTCCGTCACTGGAGAGCGACGGCCTCTAGAGGCCTGAGCATCTGGCGCCTCGCCAAGAAAAAATCGCCTTCGCGTCGTTTTCCGACGCCGGAGGGGTTGGGGCGAACGAAGGTCAGGTGGGCGAGAGGGGCCTCCTGGAGGACCCCGCGCAGGGCGCGTGGATGGTGCTCGCCGCGGATGCGAGCGTGATTGGAAACCGCCTGGTTCGAGCGTTCACCCTCGGGTGGAGGAGTTCAAAGCTCCGCTGGAAAGTTGCCTCGACTCTGGCCGGCGAAACGCAAGCTCTGTCCTCGGCAGTGGCGGAAGTAGTTTTTTCCTTTTCCCCGACCAAATCTTGTACCGAGACGTGATGTTTCAAGATGTGGACGTTTCGGATTGTTCCCGAGAAGCAGGTCCGTTCACTGCAGTTCTCAGGAGCAACTGCCGCCTCGGCGGTCGTGAAGAGCACGTCCACGTCGTAGACGCCAGGAGTATCTACGACGCGATGCCCAAGAAAGGCAGCGCCAGTGTCAAGGGCAGGAGGACGGCACTGGATCTGGCAGTGGTGCGCGAGACGTTAGAGAAGGAGCGGACACGTCCGCTGGAGTCCCCACGGTCGGATCCCGTTGATGCTTTAACGAAGGGCGACATATCCAAGGGCACTGCCGCCCTGGCGAGTCTGCCCACCCATGGTAAGCTAGCCCTCGTAGACGAGGCCGAGGAGCTGGATCGACGCAAGCAGAACCCAAGAAGCAAGGATCGCTCCCAGGCCGCTTCCAGAAAGACTTCAAGACTCTGGGCTGTGTCCTGGTCGGCTTTCTGCAGTGTCGTTCCGGGTCCGGAGTCCAGCAACCTTTCTCCTTCTCTCCCCTTTCCCTTGGGTCCTGCTAGGCACGACGAATGTTTACATTGTATAGTGCTGCTCGCAGGGGGGCTGCTAAACCTGTAAGAAAGTCTGACCCGTGTGGTGGAGTTCCAGTTTTCAGGGTTTAGGTTTAGCATTACTTTCATTCACGAGGGAGTTGGAGCCAAGACTCACGACGTTCTTGGTCCGTTGCCGGGTTGGCTCAAGGCTAAAAGGCATCCGCTATTTCTGCTTCTGCCACACGTTGTGCCTGCAGGGGCTTTTTGGGGGCCTCTTTGGCCGTCTTACGGCGTTCCTGGCGCGTCTGACATTGTCATGGGTCATCTTGGGAGCCCCTCTGGGCTGTCTTGTGGCCCTCTTGGGGCGCTTCAGGGTCGTCTTGAATGCCATCTTGGCCGTTTGAAGGCCCCTGTGGGGGCCGTCTTGGGAGCATCTTGGGCCGTCCTGGGGCCATCTTGGATGCCTCTTGGGCGCTCTGTGGGCCATCTTGTGGGCCTCTGGGGCTGTATTGGATTGTCGGAATGGCCGTGATGAAGCAAATTCCGAAAATCTTTAAAAACCATGGGATAATCAATGGTTTTGGCTTCTTCTGGCGTTGCTGGAGGACCTGTTGGAGGCCTCCTTAACTTTCTTCGAGGCCTCTTGGGAGCCTCTTGGTCTTTGGCCATCTTGGGCCGTCCCGGGTGCATCTTGGGCCGTCTTCGATGCATTTTGGGGCTCTTTTGGGGCCATCCTGGGCGTCTTGACGGCACCTTGGAGGTCATCTTGGCAGTCTTGGAGGCGATTCGACAAAGCAAATCGCCAGATTGTGCGCAGTCCGCAGCGTCTCGCGTGGCGGGCTATCGACGCGGACGACGTGCGAGGACGACGACTGCGACGACGAGGACGACGACGGCGAGGACGACGACGACGAGGATGAGGACGAGTGCGACAACGACGACGACGTCGCCGTCTTCCCCGCCCTCGTCATCGTCGTCGCTCTCGTCGTCGTCGTCGCTGTCGCCCTTTTCCTCCCCCTCGTCCTCGCCCTCGTCGTCGTCGCCCTCGTCGTCCTCGTCGTCGTCGCCCTCGTCGTCCTCGTCGTCGTCGCGCTCGTCGTCGTAGTCGTCGTCCCCGCACGTCGCTCGCGTCGACGGCCCCGCTCCCTTCATTTCAGGTGGCTTCCTCGGGGCCTCCCTGGGGCCTCGATGGGGGGTCATTCAAAAGCCCGCCGGTGGCCCGGTCGAGGGTCTCGGGGCCACCCTGCAGCGGTTCCACCGGGCTCTCCCGAAGAGGTTCGGCTCGACCATCTCGGGGACGTCTCGGCCCCTGGGCGGCTCCTCTGAGCCGTCCTGGGGCCTTCTTCCGCGGGCGTGGCCGCCTTCGGGGGCTCTTCGATCCAGCCTCGGGCCCGTCCTGTGGCTCTCTCTGGGGGGCGATGCTCAACCCGTGAGCGCGGCGAAGGGGGAGGCGGTCATGGAACACTGCAGAGATCCTACCAGACAGCTGGTAGACGTGAACAAACTGCTCCACCGCGTGTAAGAGCGGCTGCGGATTTCGATTACCTCACCGTCAACGGAGTGGAGTATTCTGGAAGTGCTGGTCCAAGTGGCATCACACCATCAACGAGCTTAGGTTGGACCTCCGACTCCTATGCAACCCAGAGTGGCTGGAGGTTGTGCGCAGGCTCTCCACCGTCGACGCCTGCGCCACCGACGCCTGCGCCACCGACGCATGCGCCAATGCCAATCGCTCCACCGACACCTCCGCCACCGACGCCTGCCCCACCACCGACAGCAGTCTCACCAGCACCCGCGCCACCAGTACCCGCACTGGTGCACATGTGGGCAGCAGTCAGCGGCGCGTGCGCGAGAGACGGCTCTTGCGTGGAGAGCCCCAACTACCCGCAGGATTACGGCGTGGATCAGGAGTGCACCGTGGAGATCGATTTGGGGTCAGCGGCACCTATCCTCGTGGAGAGCTTCAATACGGAGTCGTTTTTCGACTACCTCATTGTCAACGGAGTGGAGTATTCTGGAGGCATCGGTCCCAGCGGCATCACACCATCAACGAGTATTGTTTGGTCTTCTGACTTTACTGCAACCCAGAGTGGCTGGAGGCTGTGCGCAGGCTCTCCACCGTCGACGCCTGCCCCACCGACACCCGCTGCCCCGACACCCGCGCCCATGCCAAGCGCGCCACCGACACCTGTTCCACCACCGACAGCCGTGTGGCCCACTCCCGCACCTCCGACGCCCGCACTGGTGCACATGTGGGCGGCTGTCAGCGGCGAGTGCGCGATTGATGGCCCTTGCTTGGAGAGCCCCAACTACCCGCAGGATTACGGCGTGGACCAGGAGTGCACCGTGGAGATTGATTCGGGGTCAGCGGCACCTATTCTAGTGGAGAGCTTCAATACGGAGTCGTTTTTCGACTACCTCATTGTCAACGGGGTGGAATATTCAGGAACCTACGGACCCGACGGCATCATACCGTCAACGAGCATAGTTTGGTCATCTGATAATATGTGGAGCGAGAATGGTTGGAGGTTGTGCGCACAGGCACCTGAGCCACCGACGCCTGCGGCGCTACCGACACCGGCACCACAGCCTGTAGTGCACATGTGGGCAGCAGTCAGCGGCGACTGCACGCTTGTCGGCTCTTGCGTGCAAAGCCCCAATTATCCACAGATTTACGGTGTGGATCAGGGGTGCACCGTGGAGATCGACTTGGGGTTAGCGGTGCCCATTGCAGTGGAGAGCTTTGATACGGAATCGTATCGAAGACGCCTGCGGCGAATCACCGCCGCCCCCTAATTGTGGATACGCCCATGTGGAACAGTTTGATCACGCTATTGGACCACACGGTCCCACAGCCGCTTGTTGTGGAGTTCCAGTCTTCAGGGTTTAGGTTTAGCATTAGTTTCATTCACGAAAGAGTTGTAGCCAAGACTCACGACGTTCGTGGGCCGTTGCCGGGTCGGCTCAAGGCTAAGCGGCATCCGCTGTTCCTGCTGCTGCCACAGTTGGTAGCGGAGCGGGGCTGGCCATGGCCGAGGCGGGCAGCGCGGCACGCAGGTAGGTGACTGGCGGCGGGCACGCGCGGCTCCTACGGCCTGGCCGGTCTCGCTCGACGAGACGTGCAGTGTGGGATCCACGGCAGGTGCCGGCATGCCGGCTGACGAGGAGACATACGCGGTGATAGGCGGTGGCGCTCCAGGTGAAGGGGGTCCACTGGGAGCGCGGGAAATTCAGGAGTCAGCAGCCCCGTCAGCTGTGGAGGCATTCGCTGCCCAGGTGCAGGAGCTGCGAAAGTTAGTGCTAGGCATTATCGACAGCAGGACGGCTGCCGGCTCTCGAGCGACGGCGCCAGGTAGTGGTGACGAGACACGGCGCCCGGAGAGCGCCGACCCGTGGGAGGAACAAGACCCTTGGGGCGGCGGGCGGCGCAAGAGCGACGGCGCTGATCGAGACGGTGACAAGTGGGCCGTCGGCCGCGACAAGAGTGATTGGGGCGACCAGCCATGGACGGGCCAAGACGGACGAGGCGAGTGGCACGACCATCACTGGCAAAGTCGCCCCGAGCAGCAGCAAAACAGTTGGTGGCCCTCCGACGGGTGGCAGGTGTCCTCCTGGGGCGGTCAGGCCCGTGGCGACTTCACGGGTCCTCCAGCCTGGCCTGGGTGGACACACTATCGGCAGTGGAAGAAGGCTGCCTGCAGGTGGGATCGCAGCACAGACGTCGCGCTGTGGTGGCGATTAGAGAAGTTCCTTGGCCTCTTCGACTGGTCGATGCAGGCGAAGTTCGACGATGTGCCCGACCACCTGCTGACCAGCAGCCAGTGGCTCGAGGTGCTGCTCCAGCGGATGGACCTCATGAGCGGCGAGCGTGAAGGAGACGAGCTCCGACGAGTGGGACGGCGAGCTCTACGTGAAGGGACTCGTGAGGCCAAGGAGTCGCTGACGCCGTGCGTTGCCAGGAGAGACCTACAGTTTCAGGAAGCTGAGGGGAGCGACCTCTGGCTATCCGAGAAGCTCAAAGGCCTGATGCTCGAGGAAGGTGCGGGGTTGTCAGCCCAGGGTCAACAAAACATGAGGACGCTGACCCAGGGCAGCATCGAGTGCAGGCAGGTCGCCTGGGCACTGCGCCAGATGGACTTCGGCGACGTCGGCGGCGCTGAGCGGTTGGTGACGGGCCGGTCCATTTCTCGCCCCGTGATGGCCGCAGGAGTCGGTCAAGCGGGCGAGGCTTCAGGCTCTGTCTTTCTCCCCCCCCCTCCGAGCCCATTCGGCGCGGGGAACTACCTCGACGAACGACGAGACGAGGCAAAGTCCGAAGGTGGTGAGTCTGAGGACGATGTCGAAGACGATCTCAGCGAGGAGGAAGTATTGACCGTTTTGGCTGCGATAGAGGACTTGGAATCAGAACAAGGACTTGAAGAGAGCTGTCGAGCGAGATCATGAGTATTTTCGATCCACTGGTCGAGCGGCAGGAGGTGGTGGCCACGGCGGCGGTCGGCGCGAAGCTGGTCGGCGAGGAGACGGCGGTCGAGGGCGAGGTCGAGGCGGCTTCCCGGGTCGAGGGCATGGGGGGCGCATGTCGCGCGAGCGGCCGACGAAAGTGACCCGCTGTTTGCGATGCCTACAGGAGGAACGCTGGTCGAGATAATGTCCCAATTTCCCCGCTGCCGACGGCGAGCGGCAGTTTCCGGACAAGAAAAATAATAACCTGGCCGGCTACGCGTTGACCGGGTGTGTTTCCAGTGGGCCGTGCCTGCCAGTGGTCGCGGGCGAGAGGCTTGAGGCCCTGAGGGAGATCCAGGATGAGGTCGATAACGCGTTCCTGGCGACAGCAGCGAAGCAGGGCCTGGTGGGCCCAGGGGCGGCCTGCGACATCGTCTGGTGCTTGGCGCTCAACGCGGAGTCCCACGAGCTAGACAGGCGCGGCTTCCAGTATGTCCCGGTGCCCGAGTCCGTGAGGCCTCTTCGCAGTGCCCGCGGAGTGGGGGGCCTGGCGAAGGTGATCGCCGCCGTCCCCTTTCCCTTCTGTTTGGCGGGCGTTCTCGGCCAAGTCGAGACGACGGTGTTGGGCGAGGACGTTCCTCGCATGCTCAGCGTTAATCTTTTGGACCTTCTCGAGTGTATATTAGATCTTCCCAGTGATGTTTTGCGGCCCCGGACCCTGCGGGGGGGGGGGGGGGTATTCCGATGGCCAGGCTGGGGCCAGGACGTCGAATGGCCGACATCATCGGTCCTGTGTCCTGTGGAGGCAAGGCGCCCCGAAAGGCCCTGAGCAAGTGCTCGTTCCTTACAGCTGTTTCTTTTCTGAAGAACGGGGGGGGGCGAGCCCGGGAGATGGGCTCGGGCGGCGCCCTGAGTAAGTGCACGCCTCTCTTCTCGATCCCCCTCCTTGTCTTACTCGCGTTCAGGGGCGCGAGGTGCCGAGGACTCCAGAGATCCAAGGTTGGCGCCATCAAGAACGGCCTCGCGCAGGGCCTCGCAGGCAAGCAGAAGGGGGCGAAGGGAGAGGCCATCAAGAAGAACCCTCAGCAGGGCTTCAGAGACAAGGTGCAGGGCCTCACGGCCCAGATCAGGAAGGCGATCAAGGGGGTCTACCAGCCTATGGCTCAGTTAGCGGCTCGGGGTCAGGTCCGGGGCTTAGGATCCAGAGACAAAGCTCGGGTGGTGCTCAGAGGACCAGACGACAGCAACGGGGTGGTCTCAGAGATTCCGGGTAGCGACCTCATCTCTGGGCATGTAGCACGTGTTGGCTCGAGCCTCGCTATCGGCTTGCGCGGCCTCCCAGACAGCGGAGCTTTCTCGGTCGAAAATTCCACTCAGGTCTACGATGGCTGGTGAGAACATCCTTCCGGCAGCGCTGATGGCCGGGCCGGCGTCGGCCGGGCCGAAGAAGGAACCAGTGGCCAAGGGGGCCGCGGAAGAGTTCCTAGCCAGGCGCGAGGCTGCCTTAGCCGACGTTGCATTGGCCAGCGCCGGAGGAGACGCCGACGACTCGGGTAGCTCAACGGAGAACTACGGCTTCCCACCAGGGTGCGGGGGTGGGCGGGTTCCCGGCGGCGCTGCCGAGGCCGTGAGTCTCGAGCCAGGAGCGACGGTCGGCATCCCGCAACAGACAGCGGCAGGGCCGCCTCCCCAGGTGCCGCGGCCGACGCTGTGGGGCGCGGCCGCCTTCGCCCCTCAGTGGCCTCCAGCGAATCAGTCTCGGCTCGCGGCAGCACTCGACGAAGTGCCTCGGCGCGAGGTCCCGCCGTCGACGGCGGGCGAGGAGCAGCTCGGCCCCGAAGAACCTTCCGCCCGAGCTGGGCGCTGGATCGACGACGGCCGATGCGTCCCAAGGAACGCCGTGGAGCAGCTCCTTCCAACCCGGCTCGGCGGGGCTTTGCACAGGCAGTCCCGGAGCGGTGGCGGCAGCGACGGCTGCTATTCCAGCCGAGCCCCCGCCCGAGCCAGCTCCTGAGTGCGGGCGTCCACGCGACGCTATCAAGTACTGCGGCAACCAGCATGGCTCGGGGTCGCGGTGAACACTCTGTGGGGATCGACTTACCTGGATGCCCCGAGGCGCGCCCGGGAACAACGGCCCCCCCCAGCAGACCGCCGCCGAGGCAGCGCGGGCGGCGGCAGCATCCGCTCAGAGGGCCGTCGGGGTGATGCAGAACAGCCCGCAATTTCAGGCTGGAGGCGCGGCTCTGACTAGGATCAACAGCTTGGCCGCGCTCTTGCAGGGATTGCAATGGTAATTATAGTCTGTGCCCGAGAGCGTCAGAGCGCTCGATCGAGCTCAAGAGGCACTGGACCGGATGATGCAAGTCGTCATGGGCCAGCAGCAGGTTCCAGCCTCCCAGGTCGAAGAAGGACTACAGCATATATACCTGGGAGTGATCGAGATCTGTCGGCTGATCCCAGGCTTCGAGGACTTCGCCGAGACGCTGGATGGGATCAACAATGCGGTGAATGGGATGGTCACGACGGTCGGGAACATCGGCATGGCGGTCTCTCAGCTGGGTCAGATGCTGGTCCAGATCGGAACGGCAGTCACTGGACTGGTGCAGGTGGCCAACGCCCAGATCCAGATGCCGGATCAGGGAGATCTCCGGGTGAACTCGAGCAGCGGGGTCTCGGCCAGCGGGGGGCCAAACGGGGCGCAAGGCAGCCCCGCCGCGACGACGACTCTGACGACGTCAACGGCGACGGCACCAACCACTACAGGTACCATGGAGCGTTTGGGCCTCGGGCCGATTCCCGAGGAGACGGATCCAGGTTCTCCAGACGGTTGGGAGATCATTGCCGACGATGCCGAGATCAGTCAGCGAGTCAGGAGTCTCGAGGGTGACAGGGCGAGGGCCAGCCCCGTCTGAACTTGGTCGCGCGCTGCGAGCAGTGCGGCTGCCTTCCTTCTGAGGCTGAGAGAGCCGACGGACAAGTTGTCTCTGGGCGCTCTTCCGTATCTCGGCCAGCTTTGTTTTTTTCCCGTTTCAGTGCTTCAGAGCAAGTCGAGTGAAGCTCGGGGCAAGCTCGCGGGGGCGCAGCTCCGGAGAAGAACGCAAGAGCAGTTGCGGGGGCTTCCGGCTCGGGCCAGAGCTCCAGAGGGCCTGGAACTGGAGGGGGCCGAATGGATAGATGGAGACGCCGTGAATGATGATCGCGAGTCCGCTTGCCCCCGGGAAGTGAGAGGGGCCCTAGAGGCCATGGTTATCTCGCGAGGAACGGGCCACGAGCAGTTGAAGCAGGACGGGCCCAGGAGGAAAGCCAGGCAGGGGGCGAGCTCTATGGAAGTGCCCCCCCCTCCCAGGATAGGCCCAAGGGCCCAGAAGCGAGGGGTGGCCCTCGGAGAGGCCTCTAGTTGGGACTTGTCTACCGGATGGGATTCCAGACAAACTGCGGACCGTGGGAGGCTTTGGAGAAGCATATACGCGGACAAGCCGGAGATCATATGGCTCTGCCCACCCTGCCGGACCTTCTCAGCAACCAGCAGGATCAGCAAAACTGTCAGTGATCCTGGTGGTGTGTGGTCGATCGCCGTTCGGGAAGGGCTCGAGGACCTATCCTCTGTATGAAGATCGCCGATCATCAGATCCGTTACGGTCGGTTCTTCGCGTTCGAGCACCCTTTGTTCGCCGCGTCTTGGGGCGCTAAGGTGGTTCGGGCGATCGCGGAGCTTCTTGAGGTGCGACGTATCAGGGTGGACATGTGTACCTATGGGCTCTACGTCACAGGGGAGGGGCTTAACAAGAAAACCCACCGGGATTCTGAGCAATCATCGTGGGATCCAAGAGGTGCTAGGAGGCCACTGGTGCGACGATAGCAGTCACAGGCACGTGCTGCTCGAAGGTCGATCGCGGACCTCTCGGGCCCAGGTCTGCCTCCCTCGGTTTGTCGATGCGGTGGCCCGCGCGGTGAGAGAACAATGGAGCGGGGCGAGTCAAGGCAGGAAGGCCGCCTGGGGCGGAGTTCGACGAGAGCGCGTTTCTGGTCGGGGAGCTGTCACACGGTGAGGACCCGGGGGACCTTGAGGACAGCGGGGAAGACGAGCCGGAGACCTGGCCGACGAACGCCACCAGTACTGTCGAGAGATGGCGGTATCCTGAGCCTAGTGAGCAAGAGCAGCGCCTCGTGTTTCGTCTTCACCACAATATGGGCCATCCGGATAACAGGAAGTTCATCAGAGTCCTGCGCGCCAGAGGTGTGAAGATACACGTGCTTCGCTGGATACGTGACCCTTTCAAATGTTCGGAATGTGCCGAGAGGTCGAGAAACTCCGTTCCCAGGCGTGTATCCATGCCGAGGACCTTCATATTCAGTCACATAGTGGGAGTTGATTTATTATATCTTCCCTTTCAGGATAAGACGATTCTCTTCCTGAACATAGTGCACCATGGGCCCAAGTTGCAAGTGTGTGTGAGAGCCGAGGGGCCCAAGGCGGCGAGCGTTTGGCGCGCCTTCGTGCACGCTTGGATTCGACCGTTCGGCGCTCCTCATTTCGTGCTCTCCGACGGGGGCTCGGAGTTCGAGGATCGATTCGCGTGACGATTGGAACAGTGGGGGGTGCTGCACCACATATGTGACGCCAACTCTCCATGGCAGAACGGCAGGGTTGAGAGACATTGGAGGGTGGATCAAGGAGCGGATGGAGGCCGAACTGGAAGCAGGGTCGTCCATTCCAGCAGACCTGGCTGAACTCGAGGAACTTATATATGAGTTGTGCGCCCACGCATCGGTTTTGGCACAGCGGCGGATTCTCTCTCCCTCCAACTTGTTCTCGGAGTGAATCCCAGGCTTCCCCGTGAGCTATTGTCTGACGATCATCTCGGCCTTCCAGGCTTGCGGGACAGCCTGAGGCCAGCGTCCGAGTGGGATTCGGCCGGGGCCGAGTATGCTCGATCTCAGAAGGTGCGAGAGCTAGCCCGTAGGTTGGCACTGGAGACCATTGCCCGGGAGAAGGTTCAGAGAGCCAGTCGGGTCCGTGCCGGGCCCGGCCCACGGTGAGTTTTACCCCGGGCCACTGGGTGTTTGTGCGGAGGCGTGCGACCAAGGCGGGTCCCAGGGCCGACGCTCTCGGCCAGCGCCGCGGCGCCTGGGCGGGCCCGGGGGTCGTAGTGCTGGCTGAGCGCAGAACGGTGTGGGTCGCGGCGAGAGCGCGTCTCTGGAAGTGGTCTCCCGAACAGGTGCGGGATCAAGCTAGCGCAAGATCCGCAGTGGACCGAGCTGTTTGGCCAAGTCCGAACGCGACGGGCCTCGGCTGTGGATGTGCAGCGGGAGGGCCCACCTCCCGATGAGGCTTGGGATCGAGCCCTGGCCCCGGGGTCCGATCCGGCGCCCAGCGCGCCAGCGGGTTCTCCGCCACCTCCATGGCTGGTGTCGCAGCCAGTTGGGCCTGAGGTAGGAGGGCGCACGGGCCAGAACCTCGACCCCGTCAGGGGGTTTCGGACGGCTAGGCCTCGGGTCGGTCCTCTTCCTCCGTCTTCGGACGGAGGCTCGGTCGTTGCTCAAGCCAGATCTGAGGTGGCTCGCCTCCCATCTATCTCCGAGGAGGCGGACAGCCAATCCCGGCAGGTGTCTCCCGACGGCAGCGAGGCTACTTCCCTCCCTTTCGGCGCTCCCTCTCTCCCTCTGGACAGAAGCAACCGAGAGGGCGAGATCGAGGCCCCGCAGAGGCCGGGAGGCCCAGTGCTGCTCCGCCCGACGCCTCTCCAGGAGATTCCTCCTCTCCCTCTCCTCCCGCTTCACTCGCAGGAACTAGAGCGCTCAGTCCGAAGCCGAGAGCTTCCGAGCGCCTCCCTTTCGAGGCAGAACTAGGATCGACCAGCCCGGAGATGTCCCCGCCTGTATTCTCGGGCGTAGGGCCGACGAGGCGACAAGTCGAAGTGCCAGCTGTCCGCCGGCGACGGGCGACGTCGAGCGCGCCGGAATCGAACCGCCTGCATACTGGGCCCTCCAGGAGAGGGACGCGGCGTTCCTATCTCTTCCCCCGGTCACTCCCATCCTGCTCTCCCTCCTCCGTCTTTCCCTCCCTCCTCGCCTGAGGGCCCGACAGAGTTCAGGCCTGGCCAGGGGCATCGGGGCGTCGTCGGGCGCAGGATCGAGGAGTTTGAGAACATGTCCCGCGGCAGCGGATCGGGGGGGCGTGAGCGGTCCCCGAGAGGAAGGGCACATATTTGGGTGACGCCGGGAGACGAAGAGGGAGTCGCTCTGACCGAGGTCCCGGGGCCCGAACCGGATCTGGAAATCTTCGCGGCCGGCCGCGGCGGCGAGGTCTCTCTCGGCAAGCTCTCGCCAGCCGGGCGTGGCAAGTCTGAGATTTCAGATGATGAGGGGGGGCGAAGCATGGCCAACTCAGGAGCGGTAGAAGTCGTGCCGCCGAAGGAGGCGGCGGCAGTGAAGCGCTCTTGTCTTGAGCGCGTCATTATCAGCTGAGTGGCGCGTAGGTGGCAACCCGTGGGGGATGCGTTTTCAGAGCCTCAGGCGAAGTCGCGCTGGTGTGTGTGCTCGGACACAAGGATCCAGACACAGGCTTATTGTTCGTCTACTCCCCCACTTTCCAGACCACGTCCATCCACGTGTTCATGCAGGTGATGATGAACCTTTCCCTTCTCGGTGATATCGCTGATGTCAAGAATGCTTCTCGCCAGTCGGATCCCATGCAGCGTTCGCAAGGAGGAATATATGTGGAACCATGCGAAGGAATCAAGGTTGAACCCGGCTCCCTCATCCGTGTGAACGCTAGCGTTTATAGTCTCGACGACTCGCCTCTAGCATGGCGCAAAACTATCGTCCGTTTTTTGAAAGACAAGGGTTTCTGTCGAAGCCTCCTGGAACCGCGTTGGTGGACCTGGCACGACTCAAGAGGAAAGATAGTTAACGGGGTTCTCTTGGAGGTGGATGATTTCTGTATAGCCAGCAACTCGTCCGAATCCAGGCAGTGGATCTGGAGTGCTTTCGAGTGCAGGTTCATTTTCGGGAAGTGCCGCGACTGTCGCGCGGGGCCCGTCGAGTGCGCCGGGCGATCTGTGCGCGTCGGCCCGCGGCGCGCGACCATGGACCAGGAAAAGTACATTCTCGAGGAGATCCGACCTGTGATTCTCGCCCGGGCACGGTTGGGTCAAAAGAAGTCCCCCCCTTGAGAAGGGAGAGTTCAAGGCCTTAAGATCACTTATCTACGAGCTGAACTGGATCGGGCGTGAATCTCGACCGGAGGCCGCGGGGGCGGCCGGCATTCTGGCCAGCAGGCTCAAGCAGCCTACGGTGAGAGATGTGTCCTGTGCTAACAAGATGGTCCGTCACTGGAGAGCGACGGCCTCTAGAGGCCTGAGCATCTGGCGCCTCGACCAAGAAAAAATCGCATTCGCGTCGTTTTCTGACGCCGGAGGGGTTGGGGCGAACGAAGGTCAGGTGGGCGAGAGGGGCCTCCCGGAGGACCCCGCGCAGGGCGCGTGGATGGTCCTCGCCGCGGATACGAGCGTGATTGAAAACCGCGTTGTTCGAGCGTTCACCCTCGGGTGGAGGAGTTCAAAGCTCCGCTGGAAAGTTGCCTCGACTCTGGCCGGCGAAACGCAAGCTCTGTCCTCGGCAGTGGCGGATGTAGTTTTTTTTCCTTTTCCCCTTCCAAATCTTGTACCGAGACGTGATGTTTCAAGATGTGGACGCTTCGGATTGTTCCCGAGAAGCAGGTCCGTTCACTGCAGTTCTCAGGAGCAACTGCCGCCTCGGCGGTCGTGAAGAGCACGTCCACGTCGTAGACGCCAGGAGTATCTACGACGCGATGCCCAAGGAAGGCAGCGCCAGTGTCAGGGGCAGGAGGACGGCACTGGATCTGGCAGTGGTGCGCGAGACGTTAGAGAAGGAGCGGACACGTCCGCTGGAGCCCCCACGGTCGGATCCCGTTGATGCTTTAACGAAGGACGACATATCCAAGGGCACTGCCGCCCTGGCGAGTCTGCCAACCCATGGTAAGCTAGCCCTCGTAGACGAGGCCGAGGAGCTGGATCGACGCAAGCAGAACCCAAGAAGCAAGGATCGCTCCCAGGCCGCTTCCAGAAAGACTTCAAGACTCTGGGCTCTGTCCTGGTCGGCTTTCTGCAGTGTCGTTCCGGGTCCGGAGTCCAGCAACCTTTCTCCTTCTCTCCCCTTTCCCTTGGGTCCTGCTAGGCACGACGAATGTTTAGATTGTATAGTGTTGCTCGCAGGGGGGCTGCTAAACCTGTAAGAAAGTCTGACCCGTGTGGTGGAGTTCCAGTTTTCAGGGTTTAGGTTTAGCATTACTTTCATTTACGAGGGAGTTGGAGCCAAGACTCACGACGTTCTTGGTCCGTTGCCGGGTTGGCTCAAGGCTAAAAGGCATCCGCTATTTCTGCTTCTGCCACACGTTGTGCCTGTTGGGGCTTTTTGGGGGCCTCTTTGGCCGTCTTACGGCTTTCCTGGCGCGTCTGACATTGTCATGGGTCATCTTGGGAGCCCCTCTGGGCTGTCTTGTGGCCCTCTTGGGGCGCTTCAGGGTCGTCTTGAATGCCATCTTGGCCGTTTGAAGGCCCCTGTGGGGGCCGTCTTGGGAGCATCTTGGGCCGTCCTGGGGCCATCTTGGATGCCTCTTGGGCGCTCTGTGGGCCATCTTGTGGGCCTCTGGGGCTGTATTGGATTGTCGGAATGGCCGTGATGAAGCAAATTCCGAAAATCTTTAATAACCATGGGATAATCAATGGTTTTGGCTTCTTCTGGCGTTGCTGGAGGACCTGTTGGAGGCCTCCTTAACTTTCTTCGAGGCCTCTTGGGAGCCTCTTGGTCTTTGGCCATCTTGGGCCGTCCCGGGTGCATCTTGGGCCGTCTTCGATGCATTTTGGGGCTCTCTTGGGGCCATCCTGGGCGTCTTGACGGCACCTTGGAGGTCATCTTGGCAGTCTTGGAGGCGATTCGACACAGCAAATCGCCAGATTGTGCGCAGTCCGCAGCGTCTCGCGTGGCGGGCTATCGACGCGGACGACGTGCGAGGACGACGACTGCGACGACGAGGACGACGACGGCGAGGACGACGACGACGAGGATGAGGACGAGTGCGACAACGACGACGACGTCGCCGTCTTCCCCGCCCTCGTCATCGTCGTCGCTCTCGTCGTCGTCGTCGCTGTCGCCCTCGTCCTCCCCCTCGTCCTCGCCCTCGTCGTCGTCGCCCTCGTCGTCCTCGTCGTCGTCGCGCTCGTCGTCGCAGTCGTCGTCCCCGCACGTCGCTCGCGTCGACGGCCCCGCTCCCTTCATTTCAGGTGGCTTCCTCGGGGCCTCCCTGGGGCCTCGATGGGGGGTCATTCAAAAGCCCGCCGGTGGCCCGGTCGAGGGTCTCGGGGCCACCCTGCAGCGGTTCCACCGGGCTCTCCCGAAGAGGTTCGGCTCGACCATCTCGGGGACGTCTCGGCCCCTGGGCGGCTCCTCTGAGCCGTCCTGGGGCCTTCTTCCGCGGGCGTGGCCGCCTTCGGGGGCTCTTCGATCCAGCCTCGGGCCCGTCCTGTGGCTCTCTCTGGGGGGCGATGCTCAACCCGTGAGCGCGGCGAAGGGGGAGGCGGTCATGGAACACTGCAGAGATCCTACCAGACAGCTGGTAGACGTGAACAAACTGCTCCACCGCGTGTAAGAGCGGCTGCGGATTTCGATTACCTCACCGTCAACGGAGTGGAGTATTCTGGAAGTGCTGGTCCAAGTGGCATCACACCATCAACGAGCTTAGGTTGGACCTCCGACTCCTATGCAACCCAGAGTGGCTGGAGGTTGTGCGCAGGCTCTCCACCGTCGACGCCTGCGCCACCGACGCCTGCGCCACCGACGCATGCGCCAATGCCAATCGCTCCACCGACACCTCCGCCACCGACGCCTGCCCCACCACCGACAGCAGTCTCACCAGCACCCGCGCCACCAGTACCCGCACTGGTGCACATGTGGGCAGCAGTCAGCGGCGCGTGCGCGAGAGACGGCTCTTGCGTGGAGAGCCCCAACTACCCGCAGGATTACGGCGTGGATCAGGAGTGCACCGTGGAGATCGATTTGGGGTCAGCGGCACCTATCCTCGTGGAGAGCTTCAATACGGAGTCGTTTTTCGACTACCTCCTTGTCAACGGAGTGGAGTATTCTGGAGGCATCGGTCCCAGCGGCATCACACCATCAACGAGTATTGTTTGGTCTTCTGACTTTACTGCAACCCAGAGTGGCTGGAGGCTGTGCGCAGGCTCTCCACCGTCGACGCCTGCCCCACCGACACCCGCTGCCCCGACACCCGCGCCCATGCCAAGCGCGCCACCGACACCTGTTCCACCACCGACAGCCGTGTGGCCCACTCCCGCACCTCCGACGCCCGCACTGGTGCACATGTGGGCGGCTGTCAGCGGCGAGTGCGCGATTGATGGCCCTTGCTTGGAGAGCCCCAACTACCCGCAGGATTACGGCGTGGACCAGGAGTGCACCGTGGAGATTGATTCGGGGTCAGCGGCACCTATTCTAGTGGAGAGCTTCAATACGGAGTCGTTTTTCGACTACCTCATTGTCAACGGGGTGGAATATTCAGGAACCTACGGACCCGACGGCATCATACCGTCAACGAGCATAGTTTGGTCATCTGATAATGTGTGGAGCGAGAAAGGTTGGAGGTTGTGCGCACAGGCACCTGAGCCACCGACGCCTGCGGCGCTACCGACACCGGCACCACAGCTTGTAGTGCACATGTGGGCAGCAGTCAGCGGCGACTGCACGCTTGTCGGCTCTTGCGTGCAAAGCCCCAATTATCCACAGATTTACGGTGTGGATCAGGGGTGCACCGTGGAGATCGACTTGGGGTTAGCGGTGCCCATTGCAGTGGAGAGCTTTGATACGGAATCGTATCGAAGACGCCTGCGGCGAATCACCGCCGCCCCCTAATTGTGGATACGCCCATGTGGAACAGTTTGATCACGCTATTGGACCACACGGTCCCACAGCCGCTTGTTGTGGAGTTCCAGTCTTCAGGGTTTAGGTTTAGCATTAGTTTCATTCACGAAAGAGTTGTAGCCAAGACTCACGACGTTCGTGGGCCGTTGCCGGGTCGGCTCAAGGCTAAGCGGCATCCGCTGTTCCTGCTGCTGCCACAGTTGGTAGCGGAGCGGGGCTGGCCATGGCCGAGGCGGGCAGCGCGGCGCGCAGGTAGGTGACTGGCGGCGGGCGCGCGCGGCTCCTACGGCCTGGCCGGTCTCGCTCGACGAGACGTGCAGTGTGGGATCCACGGCAGGTGCCGGCATGCCGGCTGACGAGGAGACATACGCGGTGATAGGCGGTGGCGCTCCAGGTGAAGGGGGTCCACCGGGAGCGCGGGAGATTCAGGAGTCAGCAGCCCCGTCAGCTGTGGAGGCACTCGCTGCCCAGGTGCAGGAGCTGCGAAAGTTAGTGCTAGGCATTATCGACAGCAGGACGGCTGCCGGCTCTCGAGCGACGGCGCCAGGTAGTGGTGACGAGACACGGCGCCCGGAGAGCGCCGACCCGTGGGAGGAACAAGACCCTTGGGGCGGCGGGCGGCGCAAGAGCGACGGCGCTGATCGAGACGGTGACAAGTGGGCCGTCGGCCGCGACAAGAGTGATTGGGGCGACCAGCCATGGACGGGCCAAGACGGACGAGGCGAGTGGCACGACCATCAGTGGCAAAGTCGCCCCGAGCAGCAGCAAAACAGTTGGTGGCCCTCCGACGGGTGGCAGGTGTCCTCCTGGGGCGGTCAGGCCCGTGGCGACTTCACGGGTCCTCCAGCCTGGCCTGGGTGGACACACTATCGGCAGTGGAAGAAGGCTGCCCGCAGGTGGGATCGCAGCACAGACGTCGCGCTGTGGTGGCGATTAGAGAAGTTCCTTGGCCTCTTCGACTGGTCGATGCAGGCGAAGTTCGACGATATGCCCGACCACCTGCTGACCAGCAGCCAGGGGCTCGAGGTGCTGCTCCAGCGGATGGACCTCATGAGCGGCGAGCGTGAAGGAGACGAGCTCCGACGAGTGGGACGACGAGCTCTATGTGAAGGGACTCGTGAGGCCAAGGAGTCGCTGACGCCGTGCGTTGCCAGGAGAGACCTACAGTTTCAGGAAGCTGAGGGGAGCGACCTCTGGCTATCCGAGAAGCTCAAAGGCCTGATGCTCGAGGAAGGTGCGGGGTTGTCAGCACAGGGTCAACAAAACATGAGGACGCTGACCCAGGGCAGCATCGAGTGCAGGCAGGTCGCCTGGGCACTGCGCCAGATGGACTTCGGCGGCGCTGAGCGGTTGGTGACGGGCCGGTCCACTTCTCGCCCCGTGATGGCCGCAGAAGTCGGTCAAGCGGGCGAGGCTTCAGGCTCTGTCTTTCTCCCCCCCCTTTCCGGGCCCATTCGGCGCGGGGAGCTACCTCGACGAACGACGAGACGAGGCAGAGTCCGAAGGTGGTGAGTCTGAGGACGATGTCGAAGACGATCTCAGCGAGGAGGAAGTATTGACCGTTTTGGTTGAGATAGAGGACCTGGAATCAGAACAAGGACTTGAAGAGAGCTGCCCAGCGAGATCGTGAGTATTTTCGATCCACCGGTCGAGCGGCAGGAGGTGGCGGCCACGGTGGCGGTCGGCGCGGAGCTGGTCGGCGAGGAGACGGCGGTCGAGGGCGAGGTCGAGGCGGCTTCCCGGGACGAGGGCATGGGGAACGCATGTCGCGCGAGCGGCTGACCAAAGTGACCCGCTGTATGCGATGCCTACAGAAGGAACGTTGGTCGAGATAATGTCCCAATTTCCCCGCTGCCGACGGCGAGCGGCAGTTTCCGGACAAGAATGATAATATCCTGGCCAGCTACGCGTTCACGGGATGTGTATCCAGCGGGCCGTGCCTGCCAGTAGTCGCGGGCGAGAGGCTTGAGGCCCTGAAGGAGATCCAGGATGAGGTCGATAACGCGCTCCTGGCGACAGCAGCGAAGCAGGGCCTGGTGGGCCCAGGGGCGGCCAGCGACATCGTCGGCTGCTTGGCGCTCAACGCGGAGTCCCACGAGCTGGCCAGGCGCGGCTTCCAGTATGTCCCGGCGCCCGAGTCCGTGAGGCCTCTTCGCAGTGCCCGCGGAGTGGGGGGCCTGGCGAAGGTGATCGCCGCCGTCCTCTTTTCCTTTTGTTTGGCGGGCGTTCTTGGCCAAGTCGAGACGGCGGTGTTGGGCGAGGACGTTTCGCGCATGCTCAGCGTTAATCTTTTTGATTTTCTCGAGTGTATATTAGATCTCCCCAGTGATGTTTTGCGGTCCTGGGCCCTGGGGGAGGATATTCCGATGGCCGGGCTGGGGTCAGGGCATCGAATGGCCGACATCATCGGTCCTGTGTCCTGTGGAGGCAAGGCGCCTCGAGAGGCTCTGAGCAAGTGCTCGTTCCTTACAGCTATTTCTTTTCTGAAGAACGGGGGGGGGGGCGAGCCCGGGAGATGGGCTCGGGCGGCGCCGTGAGTCAGTGCACGCCTCTCCTCTCGATCCTCCTCCTTGTCTTACTCGCGGTCGGGGGCGCGAGGTGCCGAGGACCCCAGAGATCCAAGGTTGGCGCCATCAAGAACGGCCTCGCGCAGGGCCTCGCAGGCAAGCAGAAGGGGGCGAAGGGAGAGGCCATCAAAAAGAACCCATTGGCAGGGCTTCAGAGACAAGGTGCAGGGCAGCGCGGCCCAGATCAGGAAGGCGATCAAGGTGGTCTACCAGCCTATGGCTCAGTTAGCGGCTCGGGGTCAGGTCCGGGGCATAGGATCCAGAGACAAAGCTCGGGTGGTGCTCAGAGGGCCAGACGACAGCAACGGGGTGGTCTCAAAGATTCCGGGTAGCGACCTCATCTCTGGGGACGTAGCACGTGTTGGCTCGAGCCTCGCTATCGGCTTGCGCGACCTCCCAGACAGCGGAGCTTTCTCGGTCGAGACTTCCACTCAGGTCTACGATGGCTGGTGAGAACATACTTCCGGCAGCGCTGATGGCCAGGCCGGCGTCGGGCGGGCCGAAGAAGGAACCAGTGGCCAAGGGGGCCACGGAAGAGTTCTTAGCCAGGCGCGAGGGGTAGCTCAATGGAGAACTACGGCTTCCCACCAGGGTGCGGGGGTGGGAGGGTTCCCAGCGGCGCTGCCGAGGCCGTGAGTCTCGAGCCAGGAGCGACGGTCGGCATCCCGCAACAGACAGCGGCAGGGCCGCCTCCCCAGGTGCCGCGGCCGACGCTGTGGGGCGCGGCCGCCTTCGCCCCTCAGTGGCCTCCAGCGATGCAGTCTCGGCTCGCGGCAGCGCTCGACGAAGTGCCTCGGCGCGAGGTCCCGCCGTCGACGGCGGGCGAGGAGCAGCTCAGTCCCGAAGAACCTTCCGCCCAAGCTGGGCGCTGGATCGACGACGGCCGATGCGTTCCAAGGAACGCCGTGGAGCAGCTCCTTCCAACCCGGCTCGGCGGGGCTTTGCACGGGCAGTCCCGGAGCGGTGGCGGCAGCGACGGCTCCTATTCCAGCCGAGCCCCCGCCCGAGCCAGCTCCCGAGTGCGGGCGTCCACGCGACGCTATCAAGTACTACGGCAACCAGCATGGATCGGGGTCACGGTGAACACTCTGTGGGGATCGACTTACCTGGGTACCCCGAGGCGCGCCCGGGAACAACGGCCCCCCCCAGCAGACCGCCGCCGAGGCAGCGCGGGCGGCGGCAGCACCCGCTCAGAGGGCTGTCGGGGTGATGCAGAGCAGCCCGCAATTTCAGGCTGGAGGCGCGGCTCTGAGTAGGATCAACCGTTTGGCCGCGCTCTTGCAGGGATTGCAATGGTAATTCTAGTCTGTGCCCGAGAGCGTCAGAGCGCTCGATCGAGCTCAAGAGGCCCTGGACAGGATGATGCAAGTCGTGATGGGCCAGCAGCAGGTTCCAGCCTCCCAGGTCGAATAAGGACTACAGCATATATACTTGAGTGATCGAGATCTGTCGGCTGATCCCAGGCTTCGAGGACTTCGCCGAGACGCTGGATGGGATCAGCAATGCGGTGAATGGGATGGTCACGACGGTCGGGGACATCGACGTGGCGGTCTCTCAGCTTGGTCAGATGCTGGTCCAGATCGGAACGGGAGTCACTGGACTGGTGCAGGTGGCCAACGCCCAGATACAGATGCCGGATCAGGGAGATCCCCGGGTGAACTCGAGCAGCGGGGTCTCGGCCAGCGGGGCCAAACGGGGCGCAAGGCAGCCCCGCCGCGACGACGACTCTGACGACGTCAACGGCGACGGCACCAACCACTACGGGTACCATGGAGCGTTTGAGCCTCGGGCCGATTCCCGAGGAGACGGATCCAGGTTCTCCAGACGGTTGGGAGATCATTGCCGACGATGCCGAGATCAGTCAGCGAGTCAGGAGTCTCGAGGGTGACAGGGCGAGGGCCAGCCCCGTCTGAACTTGGTCGCGCGCTGCGAGCAGTGCGGCTGCCTTCCTTCTGAGGCTGAGAGAGCCGACGGACAAGTTGTCTCTGGGCGCTCTTCCGTATCTCGGCCAGCTTTGTTTTTTTTTCCTGTTTCAGTGCTTCAGAGCAAGTCGAGTGAAGCTCGGGGAAAGCTCGCGGGAGCGCAGCTCCGTAGAAGAACGCAAGAGCAGTTGCGGGGGCTTTCGGCTCGGGCCAGAGCTCCAGAGGGCCTGGAACTGGAGGGGGCCGAATGGATAGATGGAGACGCCGTGAATGGTGATCGCGAGTCCGCTTGACCCTGGGAAGTGAGAGGGGCCCTAGAGGCCATGGTTATCTCGCGAGGAACGGGCCACGAGCAGTTGAAGCAGAACGGGCCCAGAAGGAAAGCCAGGCAGTGGGCGAGCTCTATGGAAGTGCCCCCCCCCTCCCAGGATAGGCCCAAGGGCCCAGAAGCGAGGGGGAGCC